TGTGTTTCTTTTACTCCTGTACAGAAAATGTATGCCTTTATTTTTACCATATAGTTTGAGATAATTGATGGCAGAGATATGGTTTAAATCAATTCCCATTCCATACCTGATCTTTTTCTCTTTTTTTATAATTTTTTTTATTTCAAAGAATAAGCATGTTAAAGCATTTGCAAAAAACAATTACAGTACAGTTACATGATAAACATACATTTTACAATTTTACAATGCAGTATTGGTTAAAAGTTAGTCTTTAAGGATCTTTTTCTTGGTATAATTAGTAATCAAGCCTAAAGCAAGCGAATGTGTTTTTATCGTATGTGTCTTTTTATTTATCAACTACGAATAGCCATTGGTGGACTCAGAACAATTTAATTGATTTTAACATAACTAACCATATACATACAGAGTGTGCCATAAACGTCGACCATATTTTAAAACTTTTTTGAAAGAAGGATTTTTTGAAGGATTTTAGAAATATTTTGATGGACATGCACAAATCAAAATTGCAATTGTTCAAGAAATAGGATAAAAATCGACAAGTGCTTCTGACTGAGAAAGATTAACAGAACTATATGGATCTAAATGAAAATATAAAGTTCTCGGGATAATATTTGGTGCAACATTAATTTTATAATTGATATTAGTTAGCCTGAAATAAAAGTACTAGATGGATATTTAATACAGTCTGTCAGAGAGACGCATAGGTTGGTTAAGGATATTCGATTTATTCTGGAATTATTTACAACTAAAAATGAGATATTAGAAGTAAGTGTACCATAGGACAAACTAGTAAGTTTAAGAAAAATTGATTCAGCATCATGGAAAAAAGGTGATTTGGAAATATATCTGCTGGTTCTAATAAATGGGACATCATTGATAAATTGAAACATCAAATATTACCTTGAAACTGGTATTTATAATTCACCCCCGTTGACTCCAACGTACTTTATAATTATGTATAAAAAGGTTATAGCAAATTAAAAAATTACGGACGGAGTTTGGCCTGTATAAACTTAATTTATATGGATAAAAAGGTTGTAGCAAATCAAAATGAAGACGGATTTTGGCCCACCCTGTATATTGTATGTATGCCCATTATACAATTAGCCTAAACGATACTATCTTCCAAACAACACCTATTTGTATATCGGATCAGATATAGTTTCAGGCACATATCAACAACAACGAATTCTATTTTGTATGCTGTGGAATCTTCCCGGGGGAATCTTGTTGTCCCTTACATTACGTTGTCATCGTGGTAAGCCACGCCCACGCCCTCTCCATCTCTATCCTTCTGGAGAGATCTGCAATGCAACAGAGAGAGATGCTATGAGTATCAGAATGTTACGTTGTATAGAAAAAGACTAAATGTCATAAAGTCTAATTTTTTCGACTAAATTTTAATTTTGATATTAATGTTATATCTCTGTATATACTTTCTCATTGATATATATTATGGAGCATGGCACTATGTAAATATGTAGGCTATTTTGGCCAGTAGAATGATAAATGGGACAAAAAGATTAGGAAATCTTAGGAGATATTGTACATTAAATTACATTGTAAAGTACTGAATGTAATCTATAACTTTCCAGTCGGCAATGGTTTAATTGGGGCCACCATTTTTCATTCCTATCAATAAACGACTTTAGCCACCGCTAAGTGTGGTATTAAAAGAACGTCTCTTTCTTCAAATAGAAAGCCGATATTTTTGATAACTCATAGGCATGGATGATGAAAATATGAAAAATGTTTAAACAATTGGAAGGAACTATAGAGAATTCAAACACTAACACAAGAAGAAAAAATACACAAGGAAGTGATATCACTAAAAACGAATTGAAAAATGCCATACAAAAACGTGAGCATCTCCGACACTAGATGCCTTATCCTAGATTTTGGAAAAAAGGGTTGACACTAAAGATATGTTTTATGAGATGGTCAAAGAAAGATTCACCGAAGGAGAATTCAATGAATCTTGTCATTTTTAGTGTAATCTACAAAAATGGAGAAAATGAATACTTTCAAATTACAGACCAATTAGCTTAACAAATTACGATTATACAATAATAGCTCTCACACTAACTAATAGAATTAAACATATAGTTAAAAACTAGAAGGCATAAAACAATCAGCTAATATTGAAGGGAGATTTATTGGAACACATGCAAGATTTCTGATTGATCCAATTGTGTAAATTATGAAAATATGTATGTGATCTTAGTAAGTCTAGATTTAAAAAAGCATTCGATAGTCTTAACCGGAACTTTATGTATAATGTACTCAAATCTCGAAACAATGAATTTTGGGGAAAATTTTTGAAGGTGAGTGAAAATACATTACACAGATCCAAAACTGGAGCTAAAAATAATGGCTTCTTATTAAGGGAAGTAAAAATTGAATGGGTGTAATGCAGGGATGTCCTATATCAGCTCTATTATTCATACATCATACTCGCTGAAACTACAGGACTGGAATCCGATAAGTGAGCTTTGTATTCAGTTTTAATAGAGCTAACCAAAACTTAGGGCCCGAATTAAGCTTTTAATTCCTGTTTAAGAACCTATATTGTTACTATTAAAAATGGATTCTACCAATACTCTCCAACATGAACCTACTTGCTGAGACTCAATAAACTTGAGTTCTTTTGAGATAACGAGGATTTTGTATATGTCCCGATAGATAGTATAAACATACGCCATGTTATGCAGCTTTTAAGTCAATTATATGATCATAGGAGAAAAAATCTCATTTAGACTCCAATTGGTAAAGACAGGATTCTTATATCTAAGTAATATTTTATATGTCATTTGATGAATGTAATCCTATTTTCATTACTTTATTGCTATTCTTACTGTTAATGAAAATTGAATGTTGGATGTAGGTTTGGCCCTAAAAGGGCATTAGTACAAATAAATCCTAAAAGTTAATACACACATGCTGAAATCCTCATTTTCTAAGAAGAACCCAAGTTGATCGAGTCTCGAAAAGTAGATGCATGTGAGGAATAGTATTGATAGAATCCATTTCCAATAGTAAGAATAGTTTTAATAGAGGTCACCTTAAACAGGTCAACGGACTTGCTCTTTAGAACTTTTTGTAGGCTTTATGATTAAGCCCAACTCTTCGCTTTGAAATAAACACCAACCCGCATATATTTTAAGCAATTCGGTCAGTGGAATGATAAATGGAAAAACTTCAGAGAAATTACACATTATTAAATCACACCGTGAAGTACTTGATGTAATCTATAACTATTTCTAGTAGGCGATTGGTTAATTACGGCCGAAACTTTAATTTTGACCCTTATCAATCAAAAAGATTCCAATCGTGCAATCACCATCGCCATAGCCACCTCTAAAATTATCTTTTTTCTTCAATAGAAAACCAATCTTTTTGATAACTAATATTAATTCCAATACAAAATGTCATCAAATTAATATAAACTTTAACATTTTCTAGGATTCTGGAGTAATATGTAGCATGAAGTATCGTTAATAAGAAAAATAACCAAGCACGTTTATTTATCAAACTTTGTTTGGGGCATTTGGTATCAAAATATTGTTTAATAATAAAATAAGTTTGATCATCGTATCTTAGTAGTTATAGTTGGGTAAAGGCGAACGGTTGAATAAGATTAGCCATGAAATATCTTTTGAATTTGAAGCACTTCAATGAATTATAAATTGTTTAACTGGGTGATCATTTCTTTGAATTTGGCAGTTTTAGTTTAAGGCCGGAGGTAACTTAAATACGATTGACCATGAAATGTCTTTTTAATTTGACGCATAATTGCGATTCAATAAATTGTTAAATTGGATAATAATATCATTGAAACAGTTTCAGTTCAAGGTCAGGGGTTTGTCAGATGAGATTGACCAGGAAAAATATATTGCATAGGTTCTCTTTTGAGTCGGAGGCATAAATGTATTATTCAATAAAGGCAATAACCAGTGGGCCTTTCTTGGATACACTTACAATTGCACTCCAAGTTCCCAGTTGATGCAGTAATTCAAGAGGATTTGACACATTATTGGTAGTGGGAGAATGAGTTGGTTGTAACAAAGCATAAAGCATTTACAGAACTCTTCAAATTGAAATAAACACCGGTCCACATATGTTTAGGAAGTTACAGAAACAACTACTATTTTACATACATGCACCACAAGAATAGATCGAAATTGAATCTTCGAGAAGTTCTTTAGAACTTATTTTCCATCAAACTTGCAGAAATAATAGGATTCGAATCTCTTGAGTGGGGTAATACGTTCTAAGGCTAAAATTGAAGAAAGTAAGTATCAAATTATATATTATCTATACACCGTAGGTCATGTATATGGAACAACATTGATATTTCCCCGATTTCATGTGCTATGAAAAAGCGGGATTTTTTCAAATATATTTTCATAGTCTTATCAGAAAAATGAACCAAACGCTAAGCCATAATTAGATTCTTTTTGTAATTGTTATAGTTGAGAAAGAGTGTACTGATTTTTGTGAAATGTCCAATATTCCAGATTTAAGAGCAATAGTGTATTTTACATAGATTAACACACAGGTGTAAATTCTAAACTTGAATTGACTTGCTTTATGATCTAGTACATACATTTATATAAATAATTTATAAGTTCGTTTCTTTCACTAATAATCATATATTTTGTTCGTGATATACTGGAAGCGCTTACTAATACGAAACATGTTGTAGTTGAGTCATGTCAGGGTGACCTTGATTACCAAGGGATGGTCTACTACGTTGTTGAAAACACACGGGTGTAAATACTTATGAAGGCATTGACGACATGGCATGACTTAAAGCTGTTAAACATGCTTAAAAGCCTGTTAAGAAATTTCTAAATTACGTTTTCTTTCATGTCATTATACATGAAGTATTGGTTTGATTTCAATAGTAGCATCGTTAAATGGGATGCGTGAAACTGAATATAAAGGTGTTGTCAAATAGTAAACATAAAGATAACATCCGTTTTACTTTTTTAAACTCGTTGCAGTTAAATGTATTTTTACATGCAAATCATAACTGATTTTGAATTGGAGGCGCTTCAATTTTATTTAGCAAAACGGACCACACGTGTATACGTAATAGGTCGTGTGTCCATGGTGTGTCAGCTGACCGATGATGTTATAGTGGAGAATGGTGCTTGGGTAAGTTTACAGTCTAAAATTGTTCAGACCTACACTACCCGGAAAACTTTCGAAATTACGATTATTTTTTCAGGGTACCAAAGAGAGAATCGGATCTAGCGAGCAGGCTAAACAAATATATTTAAGGGTTATTTCTTGTCATCAGTCATGGGCCCAACTTTGGGTTTTAGGGGACCAAAAATGTGTTGTTTTCCTGACTTGAAATGTGGTCCCCTTGTTATCTTCTGGATCCGCCATTGTAATGTATTATTTTTTCAATAAGTATGGTTATCATTTTCATCATTTGGAAGAATTTAAACATGTGTCACCCATTTTTGCACTTTGAGCCCGTAATGACTTCCACATTAACAAATCGTGAATCTATTTGGAAATATTGTATTTGGAATTGTAAGGAATATATTGGTACACGTTGCTGTAATTTTGTCACCCATCCTAGTCTGCCTTTAGATTTATGAGAGGTGGGTGGAGGGGGAATAACTAATATGGATAAAATATATGGTTGATAAAAGCACAATGATTTAACAACAAACCCAAGTGGTGAACTATGCCTGCTTTCGATTCATGTACCTCAAAGATAAAATGCTACTTATATCTCCGCTTTTGGATAGGTTTTAACAAATGGAAACAATACTGACTTAGTTCGAATGGAACTTGTTACCAATATGCTTCCTATTTCATTGGAGTTAAACTCAGAACAGTGCTTTGATTAAAGATCATTAGTTCCGTTACTTTCTCGTATTGAATCATTTAGAGGATTACTACCTATGGTGAATAAAATATCATAATGTTGATTAGGATTTATTGGATGATATGATAGTAATAGGATAAAGCAACCTGTGCATGATTATTGGAAAATGGTCACCAATCGTAACATATTGATATCCCATGGGAGATTTTAGTTTATTCACCCAGAACAATTGATATTCACTTTGTTAGAGACTAAGACCAATACGATTTGCCCAATAGAAGTAGATGATATCATGAAATTGTTTAGTTGATTGATTTCTCGTATTGTCATCGCCCTCATTCAGATACAGACATATGTTATTGATTTCTTGCCTGATAAAAAATTAGAAGTCCAAAAATGAATGAGTTTCAGAGTGATACAGATGACATATTTGGCCATTCTTATACCTCGTGTTATATATTCTTATGCCTTGTGAAATTGTATCGGAAACATAAATGTACTGGTATGTGAAGCTTCAAGTGGTCTGGGCTACCCGTGTATTTCGATTCTTGCCGAAGTATTCTGACTTAAGAAAAGTATTCTAGATTTACTCATTTTACCAAATACACGAGATTTTCAATTTGGCATTCAATTTTAAGTTTTTTCAAGAGATGACTGTTGGAATTAAGCAATTAATAAATTATGCCTCGTGCAGCGACATAGCAGGGTACCTGTTGGGGGATGGCAGATACGGATTTGCGAATTATGCACCACGATGGCATATTAAATAAAATATATCAATATAATATACTCAGGTTGGATTTCAACTTCTCAATCAGAAATATGCCTCATTTTTAGAAAGTAGGCCTTTTTGAAAAAATTGACCTCAATTTCGAAAAGTGGGTCCACATTTACTGATATAGGGTCCAAATTTTGGGAAAATTACCAATATTTTAGAGCCAATATGTACAGTTTCCTCACGAAAATGATTTTATTCACCCTTCTTTGTGAATTTCTGTTCCAATAAAATAAGTGAACTCGGACGGCTGTTTGAAAAGTTGGGCAAGAGTCCGAACACTTGGGTAGCCCAGAATAGTTGGGGTTCCACATACGTAGCATCGTTAACACTAATTTAATTATATGCACTTAGCGGCTTTAGATCGATCATTCATGAGACTGGATATATATTTTACTTTTTGGACTTTGGGGGGCATATTAAAATGGGATAAAGCTGTTGACATAATGCAATTTTAGGGTACAGTTAGGATATGCTTTAATTAACTCTTAGTCCAGTACAATCTATTGGCATTTCATAGGAAATCTACGCATCCATTTCGGAGTATATTAGTATTGATAAGAATGAAATATATCTGCCACATAAGTACGAAAATAACAGGGCTTGCCAGTAAAAATATATTTTTGACATAATCTTTAAGGTTATCGCCATTATCAAAGTAACTGCTCTAAAAACGTTTAATACCTGACCTATGCAGGGTTAACAAGTTAATATCCCCACCGCCTGTGTGTGAATACCCGCACTTTTTTCATAGCAAGGCGCTGCAAAGACGTCAAGGTGACTGTACGTTGTGTCCGAATTAATGCCACCCAAAAACCTATTTTTCTAATGTATTATTTCCTATGGGTTGTCGAGATGTCAATTATCTTTATAAATTGATTAAGTCTCCGTCGCCATTTTTCCAAGGTTCCCACATTTGTAAGGAGTAGAAGAAGAGAGGAGGATTAATGAAATCATGTTGAACAGAAAGCTTTCCTTGCGTGCCAAATATATTGTACAGTGATTAACTGCGGACCAAAACGTATGATTAAACAAAATAAGCGGAGCACTATGTCACTTTACACTATGCCATTTTATTCTAAATTCATTAAAACAATATACACGGTGGCCCAGAACAGACCAGGTCAAAAATAGAATAATCTGTTTCATATCTGTTAATCAACGAAATCGTCCATGTGTAGAACAACAACCTAGCACCAAATTCGTTGCGGTATTGGTAGTCGTACCAATCACTCATGGTTATTGGTACAGTTACATAATTCAATATAGTAATCAAAGATGAATCTTCAAGTGGTAATCGCCCATCCTTCATTCAAAGGACTTCATTTATTACTCAATATGGAAAGAAGTGAAATACCCTTGGACCAAGGATGGTAATCGCCACGAGGGCAAAACTTGAGACGTGTATTTTGCTATAAAACATAGTTTTGTGGATTGCCATTTTGCCAAATTAGTATAGCTTTTATTTTCCTTCGGCACTTAGATATTTTTATTGCGCCACTTAGACATTTTAGCTTAATGTCCACGACTGTAATTCACAATTACGACTTGCATTCTTTCACAAGGATGTTTTTCTATTGTCTTTTATATTGCGTTTTGCATTGATCAATATCTCAACTTCACAATCACATTTATCGAGAAACGGCTTACTAACACTCGGGAATATTCAAAAGTGGATTGTGTAGTCCTCATAACACATGAACTGCACAATCAATCAGTCAAGGGTTCACTGGATATGAAGCCAACCTTTTTAAGTAAAAATCTTTAAATACGAGATATTCATTTTAAGAAACAACGCTTGTCCAATATCGATAATTTTGTCTGTATCATATTTGTGCGTTGGAAACATTTTTTCTTATCTGTATTATATAATGAGATATATTAATTAGTTTCGTTATGGCGTTGTTCTCCTTCTTGATTCTCAAGGTTTTAGTTGCTCCAGCTTGGAAATCGACGATGGTTGTTCTCTTAACTCGAACTTTTTGGGTGGCAAATTAACTAAACCGATGTTTAATTTTTGGATTCGCCTGAACATGCATCAACATGTTTAGGCTTGCCTACGGAATTAACACTTTCAATACTAATCTAAGATGAAACATTCGAACCCACCCCAAGCTTGACGTCATTACGAATGCATTGACATGTCAAAATCGATGAATAACGATTGGAGGGAACTTTTAAAGATCCTTAATAGTATTAAATTCCTTGAAATCATTAATGGTACACAAGTCAAGTGTAAATGACTTGACTTAATCCTACTTATCTCTTTGGTCTTAAATGAGCAAAATGTTGAAGTTAATGATCGCTTCCGTTTCCTGACAGTTCAATGATCGATTCTGGCAGTTTTTACTCATTTACTTTTTAATCTTCCAGTTTTGCAATGCCTACAGCAACCAACACGATTGTATCTATTACATAATTGCTGACAATGCATATTTAGTATTAGAAATAGTATCGGTTCAATACTGTGGACCCCCTTTATGTACTTGCCTATTACAAGACATGGGCTTGCAGTAGCTAGACTATGTTAGAAATTGAAGTTTGACAAATAGATAGTATGAATCGTCGATTTTTGGTGGATTTTTGATGGACCACGTCGAACCACGACCCAATTTTTGTGTGAAGAAGGAGCTCTATTTCATTTGTAACAACTCACTACAAAACATCATTACAATTGATGATTGGTCAAAAAACAATGTCAATGCTCTAACTGATTCAATCTTTGAACTTTTAGAAAATTGTCTGAAACAAAAATGGCGGTCATAAAAAGGAAAATAGATCGCTTTTCAAATCAGTTTTTTGATTTTTTTTCTTTTTCTATGAATGATATCAAATTTTCAAAGATGGTATTATTTAGAGCAATATATTGGGCACATTTTCTGAAAAATTCAAAAGATTCAGTGACCTTTCCTACCTCCTACTTTTAGCTATTTTTCAGTCACATTTTCAGAGGGCTGAAAAGGTTATTTCATCATGTTTAGGGTCATTCTGACCATGAACATTGTGATCCTGGACCTGTAAATGGTATGTGGAACTAGTTGAATTGACTATAGGTCAAAACAGAACTCTGTTATCTTTGTTCAAAAATGTCTAAAAATGCAAAATGTTTTGTCACTTCCTGTTTTGTCATTTCCTGTTAAGTATCATGGCACCTTAGATAGGTGATTTAAAATTTGAATCATTGTTCTGAACTTGTTTGTCATATCATTGGCATTTATAGATTAAAATTTAGGATATGGGAAACATGTTGGATTGAATGCAAATGCGTTTTTTCAAGGTCATCGAAATAGGAATAATAGTAAAAACGAAGACACTCTTACGATTTAGTTTCAATAAAGTCAATCCAATCAGAAATTGTTTTGTCTGAAACAATGTGAAAACTGGGTTTATGAAAACATACATCGTATCGCAATGCAATTTGACATGTAAAATGATTAATGCATGGTCAATAAGATTGGGATACCATCTGAAATAAATAAATTGTGCTTTTAATTATACATCATTGTAAAGTGCTGTAGGCAATCTATAACAATGTAA